GCTAAATTAGGGACGGCTAGCGCAGATAGCCCTCGTGTAGCTATGCGCGAAATTCAAAAACAAACAAACAAACAAACAATTAATTCAGAGCCATCGATCTAATGTTTAAGCTGAAACCCAGCTGATTTATCACAACCGTTCAACAGCAATTTTGTTATATAAAAATCGGGTAACAACTTGAAGTTAGGTTTTTGGCGATAAAAACTAGCAGTGTGAATGCCATGCCTCATACCCTGTGGATGGAGAATCATAATGACGATACATCGTTTATGGATACTGACCTACTAGTATCCCAGTCTTTGTCTAGTGAGTAAGAATGGTGCAAATAGCATTGGAAGAATAAAAAAACAAAACAATGAAGTGTAATTTCTTCAGTCTTTGATTTAATCTGACACCATACTAGAAAGAACATTCATACGACTCTCCTTATTTTAGTGACTGGGCGCACGTGAGGTCATAGGCTGGTTGCTTTATCCATGATTGCACTTCATTATGATATTCACATCAATATCAGTGAGATTGTGACAAAATTAATTAAACATCACCCATGACTTCTTAATCATGCACGCGTACTCCATTACTAACGTCGTAATTAGTGTTGCAAGCTGTAGGTATTGTAAATACCCAATATTAATAAAATGATTTGATCTATACAGTTGATGACTTGCACTTGTAAAAACATAAGTAGGCATATGTAAAAATACAGTTTTCAATCTGTTGTTATTTACTAATTATCTTAAAATACCATCATTTGTGCACTAACTAAATGTTCATAAGTTTCTGACTCACAGAGTTATTTTGGTCCTTTGCCCTTTCCCTGAAATTCTAGATATACCCTATCACGTGATCACAGATTTACTTCAAATAAGCAAACGCGAAACACTTGTTAGAATGTTGCTAACCCTCTGTACACTGAAACAACGTCCAGATTCGATCTGATTCAGCACGTACGATTACGATAAGCCATAACAAGTGGTCTGCTTGTGTTATGTATGGTGTCCGAGAAATTGTACCGTTCGTTTGGAAGCAGTTTCACATCCTGCTAACGACATCTTGAGACATATATAGCCAAGTTTTAACAGTCTGCAGTGATTGGCTAGTTACTATTAGTCTGATGGCTCCACCCATAGGTGTAAAAATGAAATGTCGTCTTTGAGGTCTAGCCATGGCTCATGAACAGTTATGAGTATTTCAGAGTTACAAGATTGTTGACATAAATAACAATAAGCTGAGAGTGACAAGATTGTTGACATAAATAACAATAAGCTGAGAGTGACAAGATTGTTGACATAAATAACAATAAGCTGAGAGTGACAAGATTGTTGACATAAATAACACTAAGCTGACGAGACGATTGGCATTATTTTATAAAATTGCTTTTGCTTTGTTATAGGCATAATATTTCAAATTAGGATTATATCTGAATTTGTTTTGCGAAGTAAAAAGTGTTTAAAACATACAAAAGTGGCGGTATCTCTTAATTCAGTGATTTTGTAGAGTCTGATAAAGACAAGGTATCCTAATGTTACTCCTCTACGTCACTTACCTTAGTGCATATTTCCATAAATTCGTCTATGGTTACAACGCCATCTTTATTTAAATCCATTTTCTACAAAAAAAAAACAAAACATATATTAATTATTTGATATTTTACTGCCAAATGAAAACATGCTTAACTTATGACACAACATTTTCAGAAATATCTGTATAACTTTGCGAAAGTATATCAATCATATATGTAAAAAACGAACCATTAAATTGGACTTCTTTAAAATACCTAGGTTATTTCTATAGAAGCGTCAGATTTATGTTTAAATAAGCAACAATAGGTGAGCTACATGTAAAATTGATGTTTGAAGTTTAGTTACAAATCCTAATATTCCAACATAGTACGAAGCAAAGCTAATGCTAAAGAAAGCAATATTTTTTTACCCAGAATTCCTATAAATTTATAAAAACTTATTTTAAAACTCAACCCTGTTGCTTACGTAATCTACCTTAATACAAAGGCATTTATTTTATTTTTAACATTACCTTCAAAATCTCTTGTCTTTTGTTAATATAACAAGTTCTTGTTTACTATCAGTATCATTGAAACGTAGCGTTCAGAAATCATCTCCTTTTTGACCATTCATTCATCACGAACTCTAGCGACAAGGTTTCAAGTTACAGCTTCATTAAAAGCAAAATTTTTAGTGTTTTTTTAAATAAGTATTTATACAGTGTGGACTCGCACATTGCGACTAACAGTCAAGCAAAAACAATAGAGGAGGAGTTGGTTTGGATTTCGCACAAAGTTACACGAGGGCTATCTGCGCTAGCCGTCCCTAATTTAGCAGTGTATGACTAGGTGGAAGGCAGCTATTCACCACCACCCACCGCCAACTCGTGGGCTACTCTTTTACCAACGAATAGAGGGACTGACCATCACATTATAACGCCCAACGATTTGTATCAATACTAGACAATTGAGCGTTGAGATTTCAATGTTCATAAAGAAAAATATTTACTGATGTGATTCCCATTAGAATTTAACACTTTCGCTGCCAGTTTATAGATAGAAAAAACTCTCCCAGTGTCAGGCTACTTTTGGATACCCATTAAAAATAAGAAAACATGTTTTAGCATTTCGTTGGTTATCTTCATGGTGGTACAAAATTTCAAACTTACGTGTGGTTAATATTGCACTTTATAAGGCTAAAACAAAGGTTATATAGTGTGTTCCATATAATTATATATATGTGTGCCTATAGCAGTGAAAGACATAACTGCTTTAACATTCTTTATTAAGAATTTCTTCGTGCAAACGTTCGTTGTTAATAGCTCAGTAAAACTAGCCTCGAATTTATTTAATGATAACAAGAGGTTTGTTTTAAGTGCGGGTTTATTACAGTTCAATAAAGTGAAATACTTTTACAGTATCACAGCGAATGAAATCAAAACGCCGAGTTTACAGGAACCGTCAAGAGTTGGACGAGCTCACTTTATCATGACAGCCCTTGTTACATAAAAGTTCGAACGAGTCTCTCATTCAGATGTTTAGTTGGCAATCACAACTTGATGATAAAAAGGTCTAAATTTACATTGTCCTTACTCGTTTAATTTTGTTATTGGAATTCGGGAAAGTTTTACTACAAAAATGATTTGAGTAAAGCAACAATGCATGCACATTTTTTTTTGTTGGTATAAAATATAATTATTTGTTGAAACTGTGGTATTTTATTGTTTTATCCTTTCTACCCACGTAAGAGGTTAAAGGGTAAATATGAAAAAAACAACAACAAAAAACACAAGAAACACACCAGAAAGATCCTGTCAACATGGTCCCGCAAGGATTTTTCATCAACAGCGGGATGGGATCTTCGGCCTAGTAGGGCGTAAACGGAACACACAATATCTGTCATTTCTTTCTTAGTAATGCAGCCATCTCCATTGATGTCATAGAGGGAAAACGCCCAGCGTAGCTTGTCCCTAGGTGAACCTCGGCAGAGGAGTGACAAACAGTGCAAGAAATCCTATAAATTCAATTCAGAATTTTATTCTAAAACATTAGATAATTTTAGTACAAATGAAACTTTAAATTATTCTATATATATATATATTAAATATACAGTTATATAAGCGTTAGAGAGAGAGAGAGAGAAGGAGAAAATACAAAATTACAATAAAAAGAAAGAAAGAAAGAAGCTCAAATTGTGAAATAAAATTCGGGTAGTGCCTGTGATGGAAAAATGTCGAGTTCAACATTACTAGAGTTTCAGATATAATTAAAAGGCCAAAAGATTATTTTTCTTGTTCTTTTTTTTTATTTCTACAGGAAAACTTTGCACCGTAAGTTCAGCTGACAAATCACTGATCCCTAAAATATCGAGTTCAACATTACTAGAGTTTCAGATATAATTAAAAGGCCAAAAGATTATTTTTTTTATTTCTACAGGAAAACTTTGCACCGTAAGTTCAGCTGACAAATCACTGATCCCTACCAGTACTCGTTTGTTTCCTCTGTTTACCTTTCATTTACACACATTCTTCGAACCTATTTGGCTGCGTCAAAACATTCAATGGGTACATTTCCATAGATTATACAAGGTCACGTTTATTTAGCCACTCATTTTTGGCCGTACTACGATACTTAACATCCACCGTCACGCGACGTTTACTTTTCTTAATGTTTCGCCCATGGAACATCTTTGGTTGTTACGGATTTAGAAAATGTGCTTATTGCGAATCACATTTTTCATTAAAAATAAAAACGTACGGTTCGATTCTTGAAAGCAATATGAGGGCTTATAACATTAAAATTCGACGTTCGATCCCTGCTGTTTGGCACTATTTGGATGATGTATTGATACCGAAATGACTTCTGAGTATTTTTCTGCCATCGAGTTTTCAGTAGGAGAAAAAAAAACTGAAAGTATAAAAATGGATAACACAACATATATATGTTTGTGATATTCTTTGGTCAAAACATTGAAATTGTTTTTGTTTAAACTAAGCCCGTCTTTGAAAATCAAAATGTAAATTCAATTTTATTTTCTTTAATTAGAAACATTTATTAACTTAGCTATCTTAAGTTTTATGATGCTCATCATCATAGTTTGTGTGTTTCTCTAATAGTTTGTTTATTTTTGTATTAGCGCAAAGCTAAAAAATTGGGCTATTTGCGCTAACCTTAATGGAGGATGGAATGACAAAGTCAAAAGACATTTTACCAACCCCGGTGATCTGTTTTCAATCATTCATTTTATTTCTTTTCTGTTTTATTAAAAGCAACTCCTATTTTAAAAATGGCTCCAGGTGAATGGTAGTTTAAGATGTGGGTTGTTGAGGACTTGAACATTCAGAGCACTTCCTGATTTTCAAACTTCCATTTTATACACGAGGGTTTGTAAATAGGATTTAGTGGATTCTACTTTAGCAAATACTTTTTTCACTCACTAGACTGGACTCAAGTTTTACTTGTGTTATATGTGTGTATGACACTATTTGTTTCTGATCAGCTTGCTTGATATTAAAGTATTCCAAACTAAGGAGATTTTCTGTCCTTTATATCTTACATGACACATGACTTTTATACTGTCTTCACAGTTATATATAAGTAGCTTGAACTTTTATGAGAAATTAAATAACAGAAATAATATTCATTTTAGCATGAAGTAAATTTAGAAACCACATTCTTCCGCATCGGAACAGCCCACTGTTATTATTTAGCAAAAATACTTTTTTCTATGGGATGGTTTCTTCCTCATCGAATACAATATATTTCGCTACAGAAAAAAAAAGAAAAAGTGAAGACAACCCATCTGGAGCACCACTGCTAAATCAGTATATCACACGGTGTGGAGAAAAACGTTATTAAAGTTTCAATTTTTAAGAACTCAAGACATTTCTTCTTTAAAAAAGTCTCTTCTTTTTCAATCGAAGTTTAAGCTTCAGAGGCTCATTTTATATTGAATAGAGACGATAAAGTCTTTTTTTTTTATTTTAATCGAAGCTTCATTTTAAGTAAGGAAGCCTATACTTTTATAACGTGAGAATTCACCATTGGCGTACCATCTTCGTTCTCAATAAACTGACTTTACATCTTTAGTAGCTAAGTTTAGTGTAGGATGAAACTCAAATCTTTAGAAGCTACTTTTAAACTCGCTGTATTGAATATTTTGTGAATGGTATACACTTACTATAAGATGAAGTTTACTTTCTCTGCACAGCGAAATCTACGACTTTCTGAATGTAGAGTGGAGTTAGAATCTCAGAAGTAAAAAGTAAAACTTAACTGAGGGTTTCAATTCCGACTGTAGAAATAATGATCACATTTAGCTAACGTATAATGAAATCGTACTTACTGCAAAGCAAAGCTTACGGTTCGCTGTACTGTAGAGATTGTGACTAGAGCTTAGTTTAGTTATTTTTAATCAGCTGATTCACTATGAGGCAAAAATAATTCATTAATGGCTCAAATTATTGAGAGTTTTCATCAACTAAGCCTAGATTTTGCTTAAACATGCCTCACTGATTTAATTTTGAAATAGAAAAACCATGCAAAACTACAGACCTCCAAATGTCTTATTACATAAGCTTGGACTTTATTTAAACTCTCCGATGACCCAGCTTTAAGTCTGAGGGCTTATAATGTTAAAAATTTGGTGGCAACACAGATAGCTCATTGTATAGTTTTGTTATTTATGATAAACAAACAAACAAACCGACTTTGTTTTATACACTCCTCCCTGACGTTTTACCCTTGTGCGAGGAAAATAGAATGACCCCAAACTAATTAATTTCTATTGAAACCAGCTCCACTAGAAGGGGATTAAGCTTAAAAGTTCAGACCTTGTTTAATCCTTTCTTTGTAGAGAAATCCCCTCACTCTGCTGTGGGTGAAATTGTATGCCTTCAAAAAATAAATTAATTAAAAAGAATATCTTGAAATTCCAGCTCTTTGTAAGAGATTTTGCGTGATATGCTCATACTTATTCAGCTCTTTTTTTTACTCTGCTGTCGTGTGAGTGAGTAAAATAGTTTTACGAAGGTTAATTAACCGTATTAGTTTACTGTGTGAGCGGGTAAAATCGTATTAGTTTACTGTGTGAGCGGATAAAATAGTTTCACGAACTAATTAACCGTATTAGTTTACTG